TTGGTCGTAGTTCTTTTTCCAAAAGAACTCCCCCTGGGGCTTCGGCCCGTCCCGCCGGCCACCCGGAAACTGCATCAGTCAATGCCTGAAACGGCCGTTTCGCTCGGGACATTCTCAAAAAATCGCGAAGATGGCCCAAGATGGCCTCCAAGTCCGCCCAAAATAGTCCAAGACGGCCTCCAAGACGGTGCAAGAGAGTCCAAGACGGCCCAAGACGGCCCAAGAGGCCCCCCAGAGGCCTCCCAGACGGCCCAAGAGGCCTCCAAGAGGTCCTCCAGGAAGGCCCGAAGAGGCCAAAACCTTCTTGGAATTTGCCTCTTCTCCGCATTCCGACGGCTCAAGACGGCCCAAGAGGCTCCCAAGATCGCCCGAGAGGCCCCCAAGAGGGCCCCATGACGGCCCAAGTGGCCTCCAAGACGGCCCCAAGAGGGCCCCAAGACGGCCCAAGAGGCCTACAAGACGGCCCAAGATGGCCTCCAAGACGCCCAAGATGGCCTCCAAGACGGCCCCGAAGCACCACAAGAGGGTCCCAGTCGGCCCAGAAAGGCCCCCCAAACGGCTACCGACGGCGTCAGACGTGCCAGGAACCCACCAAGATGGCCGAAGTTGGCTCGAAGCTGGCCCAAGCGGCTCAGAGGCCCCCAAGAGGGCCTCCAGGAAGGCCAGAAGAGGCCAAAAACATGAATTGTCCTATGGTTTGTTTGACGGATTTTGACATTTCCGTCTTGTCGGCCTTCCGACTGCCCGAGACGGCCCAAGAGCCCCCAAAGATCGCCGAAAGATCGCCCAAGAGGCCTCCAAGATGGCCCCAGAACGGCCCAAGAGGGTCCCAAGACGGCCCCAAGAGGCCCCCAAGACGGCAGAGGAGGCCTTCAAGACGCCCAAGACGGCCTCCAAGACGGCCCTGGAGCATTCCAAGAAGGCCCCAAGTCGGCCCAGAGAGGCCCCCCAAACGGCTTCCGACGGCGTCAGACAGACCAGGAGCCCACCAAGACGGCCGAACATGGCCCTAAGATGTCCCCAGACGGCCCAAGAGGCCTCCAAGAGGACCTCCAGGAAGGCCCGAAAAAGGCCACAATCATTCATTTCCCATCGGTTGTTGAAGGATTGTGGCGTTTGCTTTTTTCCTGCCTTCTGACGGCCCGAGACTGCCCAAGTGCCCCCAAAGATCGCCCAAGAGGCCCAAGACACGGCCCCAAGAGGCCCCCAAGACGGCCCAAGAGGTCTCCAAGAGCCCTCCAAGACGTCCTCCAAGAAGACCCGAAAGGGTCAAAATGGCCTCCAGGCGGCCAAGATGACCTTCAAGATGCCCACGTGTTCCCCGAAGGCTTTCCAAACCGATTCGGGGAACACATGGTCCGATAGCTTGGCAGGTCTGGCCTCAACGTTCGGCCACATAGGCGCTTCCACAAAGGCAGGGGGCGACGGTGATTCGCCGTAGGCGTCTTCGATCCGCCGCCCCCTTTGATGTATCAAAGGGGTGCCTGGCGTGCCAAACTATATGGGTTTTGGTATTGGTTCTTTTTCCAAAAAAAAGCTCCCCCGCGGGCTTCGGCCCGTTCAGCCGGCCACCCGGAAACTGCACAAATCAATGCCGAAAACAGCCGTTTCGCTCGGGGCATTCTCAAAAAATCGCGAAGATGGCCCAAGATGGCCTGCAAGATGCCTCCAAGACAGCCAAGATGGCCTCCAAGACGGCTACGATGGCCCCAAGATGCATCCAAGACTGCCCAAGATGGCCTTAAAATGGTCTAAGACTTCCCAAGAGGCCTCCAAGACGGCTCAAGAGGCCTCCAAGAGGTCCTCCAGGAAGGCCCGACGAGGCCAAAATCTTCCTTAGGTTTTTGAAGGATTTTGACATTTGCGCCTTTTCGGCTTTCCGACGGCCCGTGACGGCCCCAGAGGCCCCCAAGGTCGCCCCAAGATCGCCCAAAGGGCCTCCAAGATGGCCCCATGACGGCCCAAGAGGCCCCCAAGACGGCCTTAAGAGGCCCCCAAGACGACACAGGCGGCCTTCAAGACGCCCAAGATGGCCTCCAGGACGGCCCTGGAGCATTCCAAGAAGGCCCCAAGTCGGCCCAGAGAGGCCCCCCCAAACGGCTGCCGACGGCGTCAGACGGACCAGGAGCCCACCAAGATGGCCGAAAGTGGCTCGCAGCTGGCCCAAGACGGCCCAAGAGACCTCCAAGAGGGCCTCCAGGAAGACCAGAAAAGACACAAAAGAGCGATGTTCCAAAGGTTTTTGAAAGATTTTGACATTTGCTTCGTGTCGGCCTTCCGACGGCCCGATACGGCCCAACAGCTCCCAAAGATCGCCCAAGGATCGCCCAAGAGGCCTCCAAGATGGCCCCAGAACGGCTCAAGAGGCGCCCAAGACGGCCCCAAGAGGCCCCCAAGACGGCCCAAGAGGCCTCCAAGACGCTCAAGATGGCCTCCAAGACTGCCCACGAGCCCTCCAAGACGTCCTCCAAGAAGGCCCGAAAGGGTCAAAATGGCCTCCAGGCGGCCAAGATGACCTTCAAGATGCCCACGTGTTCCCCGAAGGCTTTCCAAACCGATTCGGGGAACACATGGTCCGATAGCTTGGCAGGTCTGGCCTCAACGTTTGGCCACATAGGCGCTTCCACAACGGCAGGGGGCGGCGGTGATTCGCCGTAGGCGTCTTCGATCCGCCGCCGCCATGTGGCGTGCTGCAGTTGTGCACGGCGTGAAGAACGTTAGGATGGTCCAGCCCTTCCAAAAGGTGTTGACGCTTCGAGCTAGTTCCAAAGGCTCCCAAGATCGCCCACAGAGGCCCCCCAGAAGGCCAACAAGAAGACCCCCTGACGGCCCAAGAGGCCTCAGGACGGCCCCAAAGATATCCAAGACGGCCCTAAAGCGCCCCAAGAGGGACCCACGACTGCCCAGAGGGCTCTAAGACGGCCTCCGAAGGCCAGGGAAGGTCCCTTGGAGGCCCCCAAGAAGCCCCCAAGAGGCCCCAGGAAGCCCCCAGGAGGCCGCAGGAGGCCCCCAAGAGGCCCATCACAGGCTCCCAAGAGGCTCCAACAAACAGAGCATGATGCCCCAGAGGGGGCCTCACGCTTTGTCCTGCTCCCCCTCCTCCTCCGCCTCATTCTCCGTTTGCTCTCTCTCCTCCTCCTTTTTCGTCCTCTCCCAAGTGTTCCCCCAAAAGGGTTCCACAGCGGCTGGGGGAGCACACAGTCCAACGGGACGGGCAGGCGTCGGACCAATGTTTGGCGCATAGGTGTTCCAACAGGCATGGGGGCGACGCCTTTGACATACACACGCGCATAGATAGGAGGGAGACAGAGAGAAAGAGAGAGAGCGAGAGAGGAAATTGATATAGAGAGGGGGTGGAATAGAAGGAGAGAGAGAGAGAGAGAGAAAGAAAGAGAAAGAGAGAGAGAGGGATAGAGCGAGACAATGAGCGAGAGAAAGAGAGAGAGGGAGAGACAGAGAGAAGGAGAGAAGGCAATGCATACACAATAACGAAAAGGCGGGGGGAAAAAAGAAGGGATCGAATATGTGCCCTTCTCATTCCATCCCATCCCTGCTGGCACTCCTCAAATGCGGATAGCTGTGCCCGGTGATGATCCAACTCGCCCTCGGCATGAACATACGCAATAATTCACAACACGAAAGCGCTCCCCCTGAGGGTAAACACATCATGTGACTGGGCTCATGCGATCTACGCAGGAGTCGACAACCATACCGCGCGCGTTTAGAAAGTCCGTCGCGCCTGCACCCCAAACGCTGCACTTAGCATGTACTACACATATATGAGGCCAGTAGCATTACACACCACTCTATAGCCAAAACGTACGGCTGGCACACCGTCTACTCCTTTCGAGCGGCCATCCAAGAGGTACCATGCCAATGCCAACATACTAACGCATGCGGTCGCCGCAGCAGTCGCGTATTCAGAGCTATGACTTGAGGTGAGGATGGCACAAGCGGTGCTGCGGCGTGGCCAACCTGAGAGAACGCTTTTGGCAATCTACTCCGAGCCGCACGTGATACGCACATATTAAGTTGTTAGTAGAATTTGATTGGACGTGCTGTTCTGTGGCGAAATATGACTATTAGCTTCAAGACTGCAAGGGGCGCTGAGCTCCAATATGCGCAGCAACCGCTGTTCCTGCAACAGCGTGAACTGCGATACGCGGGTTTGAACGAACAGTGCACCAACTACGTGCAGAACCATACACATGTAATGTAAACACTTCCATGCGCGAATGTTTTCCACCACTTCTTCTGGTGTGCATCCCTGTTCCCCACTCTCTCTCTCTCTTTCTCTCTCTCTCTCTCTCTCCTCATCTGTTCACTCTCCACCCCCTCCCCTCCCCCTCCTCCTCGTCCCGCCCCTCCTCCCTATCCCCTCCTGGACCCCCCCATGCTGTTCCTGCCCCCTCGTTTCCTCCCTGGCCATCTTCCGCCCCTCCTCCCTCTTCCCGCTGCTCCCCCCTCCCGAGTGCCCCCATCCACCCGCTCTGTCCCACGCCCCTCCGCTGCTCCTCCGCATCCTGCCCCTCCCGCCGCCCTCGCGCTCGTGCTCTCCCTCCCCCCCCCTCATCCCCTGAGGCAGGGCTCGAGCCGAATCGTGGCTGTCGCGTTCGTGCTCCTTCGTCCTGCCTTCCTTCCGCCTGTGCTGCGAAGCGAAATCAGAACGAGAAAGCTGTCCACGAATTCGCCAAGACACCGTTGAGCTCGAGCCCTGTCCTGAGGATCCCCTGAGCCCTGTCCTGAGGATCCCCTGTCCCGCCTTTCGCTCCTCCGCCTCCCCGGCACACGCCATCCTGCCTCCCTCGAGGTCACGTTCGCTCTGCAAGCTGCAGCGCAAGGCAGGCCATACGACATGTAGCACTAGCTAGATATATGCAGTATGATCATGGGGCCCTTTGGTCCGCCCAAGCATCGTTCCTCCGCCTCCGCCTCCACTTGGAAACGTCACGTATCGACAGCTGCTGAAGGAGGGAAGCAATCAGAATGAATGGATCAGCCTCGCGTCGTCTGATGTCGTCCTGCAGCTTTCGCACCTGAGCGCATGCGGCAGCAGTTTCACCCGACGACGCTTGATCCCGCACAACTCGTCAACGCAATCTGCGAGTCGCAGTTGACGCCCCCTAGGGAACATCCAACGCGAATCGCACACCAGGCAGAAGCAGCGGCACCACTAAAATCGCAGCCCTGGTGGCACTCACCTTCTCTCGGCGACGCGCCGAGGGGGGACGTGAGAAGGCCTTCGGAGGAGCCCCCGAGCCTTCTGAGAAACCCTTCGTGGCTGCGGAGAAGGCTCAAAGGGCTTCCCGGACCCAGCGACCTTCTGAGCCTCCCGAGAGGGGCCCCCCTCACTCGGAGTCCCCCCCCTGGCGCGCTGCCGACTCATCGCGCGAATACGTACGACTCCCCGCAGACGATACGGTGCGAGGCCCTCCGACGACGCCGTGGGGTGACCTCCTGGACGGGCCGCACCGGGCCGGTCCAGGAAGTATGGGACGGGCTCCAGCGGCCCATCTACCGGGCGATGCCCGAAGATGAACACGTCCTGCTTCCTGTCGTGACGACCCCAGCGTGGGCTCCTGACACCGCGACAACGGCTCAACCTTGATCGATCGGCAGCGTTTGGATCGACAGATCGTTTCACCTTGGCCATTTCTGGGGCACTGGCGGCGTTCGACCTTGAACGCGCGAGCGCCAGGATCGCCATCGCGTCGACTCGACACAAATCTACCGCACATGAGATGCTCCCTCGACCTCGTTGCTCGAGAGCGGCCCCTGGACCTTCCGTGAAGCACTGTCCGACCAGGACCTCGGATCGAGGCGTGCCGACGCCCTTCCTCCCCCTTTCCAGCCAGGAGGCACATCACACATACACATAGATGTATGTATGTATGTATGTATGTATATATGTATAGTTGTATGTATGTATGTATGTATATTTACATATATATATATATATATATGTGTGTGTGCCTATATATGTATATACATATATATACATATATATATGTGTGTGTATGTATATATGTATATATGTATATATGTCTATACATATATACTCGAACCTTCTCACTCGCTTCGCGCGCGCTCAGGTTCTAGTTGTGGGCACGGCCTGGGCGCTGAGGGGGGGGGGATTTTCTTGCCACAAGGGCGGCGGGGTCTTCTCCCACCCCATGTTCCGGAAGCGCGCTTCCGGAACATGGGGGGGCCTCTGATCATTCTCATGCGCGCCTGCGCCCTATTTGCTCACACCCTCGACCCTGGACCCCTGCCCTCCGTACCTTGCGCGATCGTCGTCGTCGATGTCGGCGGCACATGATCCCTTTCCCAAGTTCCTGAACGCCTTGTACGGAAAGCATGGGGGCAACAAAAAGGCCTCGCGCAATGGGGCGGGGCCTCCACTGCTTGTGTTGGCCTGAAGGCTCCATGGGGTCTCTTGGGGGTCTCTGGGGGCCTGTATTTGTCGTCTCTTGGAGTCTTCTGGAGGCCACTTGGGGTCTCTTCGGATCTCCTTGGGGACTCTTGAGGGCGTCTGAGGACCTCTTCGGGCTCTCTTGGAGCCTCCTGGGGCCCTCTCGGGGCGGAAAATTTGGTTTTTGCTTGTTTCGTCGTCCTCTAGGGCCCCTCTTAGGGCTGCCTTGGAGTCCTCTTGGGCTGCCTTGGGTGTCTTTCGGGCCGTCCGGGGAGCGTCTTTGGGGCCTCCTGGGCCGTCTTGGGGTGTCCTGGCGGGCCTCTCGGGCCGTCTTGGAGCGTCGGGAAGGCGAAAGTGCGAGAAGGCCAAAAACATAGAAGAACACAATGGACAATTAACAATTATCCCTCCTCGGCGTCCTCTGGGGAGATCTCTTGGGGACTTCTTTTTTTGTGCGCACGCAGCTAGCCGCTCACTCGCGGAGAATACTGCACTCATTCGAGGAAACATGCGACCTTCGAAGCACGTTGCCTCTTCCAGCAATGCGCACCTTTGTAGGTACATGCGACCCTCGAAGCATGTTCCCATAATTGGATGACCTGTGACCAGCTCACACTGCATTCAAATGTGTGGCGATCAAATCTAAGACTTCACCTGAAGAGAGAGAAAGAGAGAGAGAAACAGAGAGGAAACAACTCAATAAATGAGAGAGGCCGGAAAACGGATTAATCCGAACTTATTTCAAGCGCGGCCCGCTCAAACGCCTGAGCCTCCATTCGTGCGCGGAAAATCTGGGACTACCACCAGAGACGCTGAATGAGAAACACTCAAAAGATTGAGCTAGCGATCGAAACTGAGACAGCTGCGCCAACCATTGGAATCCTTTCGTACCTGCCGTTTTACGGCAAGCAAGTCTTCATGCATCCAGCTTGGGAACTGTGTTGTACGCCTTGCTACGGTAATGCTTCAATACGCTGGGTGTTCAGTCGCCGCGCCAATCCGTGCCACGGACAGCGACTCTGTAAAACAACCGAAGCCTGCGGCGGCGCGCGACGCAAGAGCTCAACATAGAAATCTAGCGATCACCGTGCCTGTGATCGGAGGGGGCCCCGGAGGGAACGGCCAAAATCACAGCCACGGGTTCTAGCCAGCGACGCACTAAGAACGCAGAGCGGAGGCAGCCTTGTGCCAAAGCGTGCTATGCCACTGCAAGATCTCCTGCCGCCAGAGCCTCAGGCACGACTCGGCCGAATTGCACCGCGTGCCAAGTCAAAATCCAGCAGTGACATGACCCTCCATGTGGCGATGGGCGTAGCCATGGCTCACGATACCGTTGGCACTGTCGAGCTCCACGCGCACCCGCAATCCACGCACACTCCGGGCCCAGACGCGTCGCGTCACTGCCAAGGCGGCTTCGGACGACATGCTCGGGTTGCCACGAGCCGCGCGCACGGCCGCGACAACCAGAGGGGCCACCATCGGATGCTCGAATTTAGCGCGTTTCAGCTCCACCTCCCTGCCGCCTGGCCAGCTGCGGGATGGCCTCGCAGCGGATGTGGAAGACGGCCCGGCTGTTGTGGGGTGGTACGCATGCCTGGGCACCCATGTTTCGTTGTGAAACACCCCTGCCGTGAGCTTGCACAAGCTTCCAGTAGGACACCCAACCCACACCTCGCTCTCGATCCCAGCCAGGTCCTTGCCACGGATGAAGCGTGCGAAACCGCCGTTTGCGAAATTCGGGCCCCACGAATTCTTCCAAGTCCAATACGGCATGCCCGTTGCACGATCAGTGCCCCAACCGACAAGCTCGATGCAATGACCGCCTGTGTTCGGAGAGCCTTCCGTGCTGTTATAGATGCCCTGAGGGTAATTGTTATAGAAATCATCGAAATTGGCGAAATCGTCCATGCAGGTGTGGAGCGGGCCGTTGGTCATCATCTCAATCTGCATCTTCCGGACCTGCCGGTCCATGGCTGCCTGCTGCGAACGCGGACGATAGTGGCCGGTGCTGTCGTCGCCCGAAAAAGCCTCATCATCACCCCACGAGCCGCGCGCTGGGAGGTCCTCTTCCATGATCCAGCCAAAAGAGTTCACCGTGAAGCGCTCCGGCTTAAGGCCGGTGTCGGCGCACTGCGAGAACTCGCACGGGTGGCAGCCGTTCCCCTTGGGGTCCTTTCCCGAGCACAGGCCGGAGGTGTACGGCGTGCAGCCGCCCTGCTGTGTGGAGTCCATGATGGTGAGGCCCTCGTGGTAGAAGAAGCGCCAGGCATCCTGGGCTTCTCCGCCATCGCATCCCACGCTCGAAGGGTAGAGCGTATGGCCGGGGCTGTAGCCACTGTCATTATGGTACTTATTGTAGGTGGGCTCGTCCCTGTTGTGCATATTGCCGCAGCTGACCAGTGGCTGCGGGCTGACAAAGAGAGCCCCGCGCTCGCAGCCGTGCTCGTGGGCCTTGCCCATCGTCCCCTGGCCGATGCAGTTGCCCGCCTGCTGGAACATCCGCTGAGCCACCCCAGCGCCACGAGCTCCTGCATGTGGTAACGTGACGGGCGCGCCACCTTCCAGGAGGTGGATGCAGATCCTGTCGCCGAAGGTGTTTGCTGCGGAGGCCGCCCAGCAATCGCCGCACTGTCCTTTTGACGCCCGAAATGGGCACGGAAAAGATGGGTGCAATGCCCAACAACAAATGTTGTCCCAAACCAACAGCGGCCGCTGTTGGGCGGGCGGCCTCCTGTCTCGAATAGAGACAGGCCGCGGCGGCGCGGACAGCAAGTCCTGTTCAAGATGAACAGGAACTGCTGTTGGGCATTGTGCCCGTTCTTTCCGTACCCATTTCGGGCGTCCAAATGTCCCTGGTCAACCACGAATGTCCCGCAACCAATCCACTCGTCTCGTGTGTCAAAGAACTCGGGGATCTCGATGTCGTCCTTGGCAGCGGGCTTCTCTTCGACCCGAGTCCTCATCTGCGCCGACGCTGCGTCCTCGGCCTCGCCCACCGCGAGGAACTCCCTGGCAGTCCCGCTCGCCTCGCCCGCCGCGCGAAAGGCCTCGGAACCCGAGCCTGCGCCGCCCGGAGGCCCGAGGCGGTACTGCTGGACGGCCATCAGCAGGCCTCCTGCCATGAAGCAGCCTGCGAGCAGCAGCTTCAGCGTTCGGTTCTCTCGCCTCAGCGATCCGAACTGGTCCTCTGGTGCTGGGTTCGCAGGCGGCCCCTGGGCAAGCGACGCCATGGCTGGGGCACGGCGTGGCAGTCAGAAAACAAACCTCTTGGGGACTGCTTGGCGATCGCTTGGGCCGTCTTGGGCTCATCTTGGTTGTTTCGGGGGCCTCTGGGGATGTCTTGGGGGCCTGTGGGGGCACTCCGGACTCGTCCTGGGGCTCTCTAGGCAGGTTCGCGGCACGGCCGGGACTCTCCGGGGGACCTGTGGCCACCATGGCGACCGTGGACAGCTGGGCGAGGGCCCCCGCCCCCAGTACCCCGATACACACATATATATATGTATATATATATATATATGTAAATATATCTATATATACTAGACACCACGCGCGCTTAGATTCTGGCAAGCTCGGATAGCATAGATTGTCATACGGATCGTGTTCCGCAAGGAGCTCCACCTACGTCTCCAGAGACAAGGTTCGCATAGTGCCACGCCTCTCGCGCGGATCGTGCCCCACAAGTAACTGCATTTGCGGCACCACAGGGAAGCTTCTTAGCGTCGCCCCGATCATTCCGATCGTGGCCCGCAAGGAATTCCACGGACGGCCCGAGAGACAAGGTTCGCACTCCGCTCTCCCGCCTGCTTCGGCACACGTCTCACACGGATCGTGGCCCACAGGAATTTCCACCTACGGCCCCAGAAATCGACCACACGCACGAGTGACCCAGGACAAAAGTGATCTCTGGTGCGCGTTTTCAGAGGACCGACCCTGTAAGCCCGCACCACAGGGTCACTCGGGCACAGGGTCACTCCTACGCGTAGCCGGCCAGAGGCAGGAGGAGGAGGAGAGGAGGAGGAGGAGGAGGAGGAGGAGGAGGAGGAGGAGGAGGAGGAGGAGGAGGAGGAGGAGGAGGAGGAGAGGAGGAGGAGGAGGAGGAGGAGAGGAGGAGGAGCAGCAGAAGGAGGAGGAGGAGAAGGAGGAAGAGGTCGCACTGCGCCCACACCCACCCCCGGCCATTGCGGCACACCCCTATCACGCGGACCGTGACCACAAGAAGCCCCGCCTGAGGCCCAGGAGCCAGGGCCGTGCAGCGCACCCCCATCGCCCCTGGCGGCACACCTGCCGCGCGAATCACGCTGGCGTCCCCCCCATTTTGGAGCATGCCTCGCACGGGTCGTGCCCAGAAGGAGTCCACCTGCAGCCTCAGTGGGCATATTCGCGCGGCCCCTCACGCGGGTCGTGCCCCACAAACAGTTCAACGCACCCGTGCACGCGTGATCCGCAGCAGCCATCTTTCCGCACCGCCCCGCGGCGCACAGTGTATGAAGAGAAACCCGCGCCCTGCACTACACCTAACTGCATAGGCATGGATCGGTCGCCAAACCAATTGCTTGCTTATCTATAGCCTTCGGCCCATACAGCTTCTGTGCCGGAGTGTTGGGCAGGCGGTTTCTTCTGGGCACCCATAACTCGAAGTCTCTTGGCACACTTCTCGGACGCCTCGTGGAGCGAGCTGTGACGCTTCTGGTGGCCTCACGTGGGCCCCCTGCGGCCTCGGGGGCCTACCGGTGGCGGATGGCTCGAGTGTGAGTTGGAGCTCCCCCTCCTGGAAAGCGTCTTCGGGTCCTCTTGGGCCGTCTTGGACTCCTCTTGGACCGTGCTCGGGCTCTCCTGGGCCGGCCTGGGACCCTCTGAGAGGCCTCTTGGGGCCGTCTTTGGGTGATATGTGGGGCCTCTTCAGCCGTTTTGGATGCTGTACCAAAATGTGCGAATATGCTACACAACATGCACGTTGGCCCTAGAAAATGAATCAAGTTTGGCCTCCCAGGACCCGCTCGGGACGCAACCTGCAGCCTTCTTGGCACGTCCTCGGGGCCTCTTGACCCGTCTTGACACAATATTCGGGCGTCTTCGGCCCTGTCCGGCCGCTCTGGTCGCCTCCTGGTAGCCTCCTGAGCAAGTTTAAGGAGCGGGGGGGGGAGCGGGAGGCCCCAAAGGGGTCAAAATGTCGTGGGCCAGAACGAGGGGGGAAATCCGGGAGGGTGTCCCGGCCTGGTTCCCAGGCCCCCGGTACTCCAGCATACATCGATGTAAATACGTACGTATGGAAAAAGGGTGAGAAAGAGAGAGAGAGAGAGAGAGAGCATTAGTCTGGGCGAGGGGCCAACTACATGCAGGTGTGTGTGTGTGTGTGTGTGCAGTTCTTGTGAGTACTGTGGTCGGTGGGTCTTCTCTTGGGGCCACGAAGCGCGTGAAGGGTGTGCAGACATGTGGCGGGACCGCCATGCGGGCGCATGGGGCCGCAGGTTGAGCTTCCTGTGGGGCCACGACACGTGTGAGGGGTTCGCGGAAATGGACGATGAAACCGCATGCGTGCGCTGCCATTGGAGTCTTCGCTGGAGCCCCTGTTGGGCCATGCAGCGTGTGTGAGTTGCACCAAGATGGGGGTGGAACCGCATGCGGACGTTGCTTCTGGGGCCAAAGGTGGAGCTGCCCATGGGGCCACGAAACGTGCAAGGGTTTCGCCGAAATCGAGGGTGGACCCGCATGCGGGCGCTGCCACTGGGGCCTTAGGTGGAGCTCCATATGGTGCCACGAAACGTGCGGGCGCTACCACTGAGGTCTGCGCCACGAAACGTTTGCGGGGTGCACTGAAAGGGGGGGTGGAACCGCATGCGGGCGCTGCCACTGGGGCCTTAGGTGGAACCACCTACGGGTCACAAAACGTATGAAGGGTGTGCCGACATGGGGGGGAACCGCATGCAGGCGCTGCCACTGGGGCCTTAGGGAGGAGCTCCACATGGGGCCACGAAACGTGTGAGGGGTGTGCCGAGATGGGGGGTGGAACCGCATGTGGGCGCTGCCACTGGGGCCCTCGATGGAGCTTCCTACGGGGCCACGAAACAGGTGAGAGGTGCATCGAAATGGCGGGTGGAACTGCATGCGGGCGCTGCCACTGGGGCCTTAGGTGGAGCTCCCTATGGGGCCACGAAGCGTGTAAGGTTTGCACCGAAATGGGGGTGGAACTGCGTGCGGGCGTTGCTGCTGGGGCCGCATGTGGAGCTCCCCATGGGGCCACGAAACGTGCAAGGGATTCGCCGAAATAGGGGGTGGAACTGCATGCGGGCGCTGCCACTGCGGCCTTCGGTGGAGCTCCCCATGGGGCCACGAACCGCGTGAGGGTGTGCCGACACGGTGGACATGCGGAGAGCAGAAGCAGGGATGGGAGGAGGGAGGGGGCAGCGAGAGGTGAGTTACGCGGGGCGCTGTCTCTTCAGAATGTGTGTGTGTGTTTGTGTGTGTGTGTGTTTGTTTTTGTCTGCTGTGTTTATATTTGTGTTTCTGCTTGTGTTCGTGTTGTGTGTGTTTGTGTTCGTGCTTGTAGTTGTGGTTGTGGTTGTGTTTTCGTGTGTGTGTGTGTGTGTTTGTGTTTGTGTTTGTGTGTGTGTGTGTGTGTTTGTGCTTGTGTGTGAATACAGAAAAATATAATATGTAGTGCCCTGCCCGGCGGGGGGGCCTCACCGGTACACAGCGTTCCTGTCTGCCCCGTACCCTTCGTTATCCCTCTTTCAGATGCGAGTCGGGCGCAGAGACATGGAAATGACTGAAGGGTTATGTAGAGCCTGCTTTTCCTCCTTCCTCCTCCTTTCTTCCTCATAAGTAACAGTGTGCGGTTCGGTCGCAGCTCCACGAGTGACCCACAACAAACATAGAACTCGAAACAAACAGGTACCGACCACGCGGATGGTCATAGACTACGGCCCCATCGGAAGGCAGGGTTCACAAAGCGTCCCCCCACCCATTTCGGCACGGTCCTTACACGGATTGTGTCCCCACGTAAGCTCCACTTTCGAAACCAGGGACAAACTTCGCACGGGTCGTGCCCAAGAGGGACATAGTCTCAATTGCGGCCCTGGTGGGAGGAGTCGCATAACGTCACGTCCCCTTGTGTATGTTGACTATCTCCTCATACGGATCGTACCCCACAAGGAGCTCCACCGACAGCCCCAGAGCCAAAGTTCGCATCCCGCCGCCCCGCCGATGCCGGCACACCCCTGACCTGGATCGTGAGGTCGGGGCGTCTTGGGCGCTTGTCGGGGCCTCGCAGCGTGCTTCTCAGTGGCCTCTCGAAACCCTGAGATGGATCGTGCGTTGCGCGGCTCTGAAAGCCTCTCTGGGAACGCCGTGCAGGATGTAGACGCGCGACGTCTAACACGCCTCTGGGGGCCCACGGGGAGGTCTCCTGGGAGCCTCCTGGACGCATTTAGGGAGCACCCTGGAAGCTCTTGGGGGTCTCTTAAAAAATCTGGGGGTCTCTCCGGAGCCTCTGGGGGCCTCATGGAAGGCGCTGCTATCCTGGGCTGCAGCAGCATGCAATTAAATACCCCGGCATTACTTATCCCGCACTGCACTTGAACGACATTGGAACCTGGTGGGGAACCCGGAGGTTGGGGGGAAAATCCGCCGACCCGGCGTGTGAGTTTCTGAGAGCGTGGACTCGAGCTCGCTCAAGCTTCGCTCTGCAGGGGGGGGGGGGGGGGGGGCACGATATTTCCGACGTCATTTCCAACGTTTTTCTGTACACGGGGCTATTTCCCATGTAATTTCCAATGTTTTTCGGTACCCCGGGACAGGGGGGTATAGAAAACTCCACTTCCGGAGCCCCGACCGCCCAAGACAGCCCAAGAGGAAGCCAAGAGAGGCCCCAGAGGTCCCCTAGACAATGCAAGAGGGCCCCCCGGATCGGCGGCACTGGCCGGAGGCCAGCCCAATAAGAATTACTATCATTCCGGAATTGCGAAAACTGGATTCGTTTTCCCCGGGACATTGTAAACCCCAGTCAATATTCCTGGAACATTATGCACCAAAATTAAATGTTTTCGGGGTCGATATCCCCAGAACAAAATAAACCATGGTTTACAATGTTCCAGGGGGGACATTCTGAACATCAGTCAACATTCCCAGAACATTGAAACCCAGGTTCAGAATGTTCCGGGGGAGACATCATGAACCCGGGTCAATATTCCTGGAACATTATAAACCCCAGTTACTATTTGGAATCCATCCT